TGGCTCTGTCAGACATGGGGGAAGCTTCTTGCAGCTTCTCACAGAAGCCACCCCCTTATAGACCCCCGGCTACCAAAACCTTGCCATGCAAACCCACAACAGTGAGACCACCTCAGAAGTCAGAGCGCAAGGGAGACAGGCTCCCCGACGCCAGCCAACCTGGCACAAAAAGACTTTGTAGCAATCACTGCCCTTCCCCGATACATCAAGCTTTTTTAGAGGATTTCCGATCAACGCCACTGAGCTTTTAGTAGAAGCCACTGATTTTGTCTTGGTGTCCAAGCAAGTTCTCAATGCCAAAATCATTCACAATTGCTGATCCATGTGCATTGTGAACTTGTGCTCTCTTCACGTTCCCTTGCTCTCCATCATGACAGCGCTTGCTGGGGACCGAGAAGTCCTAAGAGCAAGCAGAAAAACAAAAAGCAAACACTGCTGATGGCGGAGGCAGGGCTGCGGGCTTTAACACACCGATTGTATTTCGTAAAATCGACTTCCCTGATGGCACAAACATGATCGACGCGGCAGGCCTCCTCGCACGGGGTGAGGTCGTAGCTGACGGAGTTGAACTCGTAGTACCGCTGCAGGTAGCGCGGCTCCGTCGATATCCTCTCCAGCACCACCTGCATGGAGGGCGCAGAGCCGTCGGGGACCTGGAAGGCGTCCGTCAGCCTGTACTCCTCCTCCCACGCCGGGACCTCCTCCGTTCCTGCCGAGGCCACCATGTTGGCACGAGTTAGGTTCAAGTAGTAAGTCACCATGTCCTGCAGGGAGAGAAGACCAACGCGAGGGCGAATCAGGAAATGGTCAGCCCTTGCGTGCAGTGTTTGGCGGGGCCGCGGTCAGCCCCTGCTCCCCGCCACCGGCACGCAGCACCCGACACGTGTCTTCAGCGCAGGCAGCGCCCGCCCAGGCAGCGCACGGCCCTGCCCAGCAAGGGCTGAGCCGCTCCCAGCAGGTGCCTTCTACCGGGATGTGAGCCTGGGGACATGCACCCGCGGTGGGAGCCTCCAGCACTCGCCACAGAAGCATCCTGTTTCGTAAGGGATGAAGGGCTGGCTTTTCCCTGCTTGACTTTCATCTCCTAACAGGAATTTTGAGCTTGGCCTGCTTCAGAATCACTCTGTTCTTCACTATCAACACTGTCCCCTGGCAGAAGCAAGGGCTGGAGCGGTATCACTTACTGAGTGAAGTTATTTTAGCACTCATTTCTCATGCTATAAACATGCAAACAGAGCATCTACAGAGCTGCTTTATCCATTGCAAAGAAAGGCTCAAACAGCCCATCCTCGACGTCTTCGCCAGTAAGGCAGAGGGAACAGAAGCCACCCCTGTAATTCACCTCAACTTAGATCCATTGCAAACGAATCAATTTAGCCAGCAGGGCGGACCCAAATCATTCTCTAGATGGCTGAAAGTTCTCGGAGGGGCTTTGACAAATTTGTCAGTCCCCAGCGGGAAGTTCTGCAATCCACGCTACCTGGGGAGTAAAGCCAGTGTCAAAGGAGAGTAGCTGAAGGCACGAGGAACACGACGGCGCCTGTCCTGCACGGCCCTGGGGAGCTCACCCCAGCAGGCAGCCTGGGCCAGCTGACGGCCATCCCTTGCCTTCACTCTCAGGCTCCCACTGAACCTCTGTGCCAGACCGGAGCCTGAAATGTCTTGGTTTAGGCTCTCCACTACGCAGCCGCTTGGCTCCTGCGGTCCTGCCTGTTGCATGGAGGAACGAAAACACCCTTCTAAAACAGCAGTGTGCCGCACACGGGGACCCCCTACCAGCACTCGAAGGGTGTCCGGATCGTACTCGATCACCCGAATCCCGGGGTTGTTGGCTCCATTGACCACTCCAGGTAACGTTGTTTTCCAGGGAGTCACTCCCGGGGCCAGGAACATGACATTGATTGGAGAACCTTAACAGAAAGGCAAAGCAACCCATGAATGGGAGGCCCCGGCTTGGATCACGAGAACCACGCTCAGCAAAGGAGACCCAGAGCACTCTCGTTACGACTCGTAACCCCAGTGCACATATTCGTAACTGCTCCCTCGTGCCCCAGCGAATGGCCAGAAGCCGTCGACAGGATGCAGGCAAGGAGCTGCAAGGGGCTGAGGGGAAATGATGAAACTGGATGCAAACAGGCCGGTGGGCTGGGCTACAGGCTGGGGATGGAGATCACAGCCACTGATGTCTCTTGAGCAAACATTTCACAAGCCTTTTCCAGTTTCTCAGCTGCATTCACCTAACAGCTACTGAAAAAATCTCACTGACAGTGATTCTATGGGGGCTGGCAGAGCAGTCATGCAAACGGTCGGGTGGCCAGAACTGGTACCTGTGTCACTGTAAAACATTCGAAAGCTGTCCGTGTGATGGTGCCCAAAAAACTGGGCAGCAATCACTCTGTGGTGCTTCTGCACGATTCTCAAGTATCGTTCATTAAAGCCACTCCGGAACCAGCGCTTGCCTCGCTTCTTCTCGAAGAAGCCCGGAGGGACGTGTCCCACGATGTAGACCTACAAAAGCAAAGAGCTGCAGGGAGCGCAAAGCCCACGCGTCCCTCAGACTTGCTGTGATTGCATAGAGGGGAGAGCGGGAGCGAGAAGAGCTTCCAGGCTGGGAGAAGCCCTCTACAAATTTTGTTTATTCATTTCTTTTAATACCATTTCATCTGCTCGAGAGGCATTGGTCAGCGTTTCTTCCAGCCACTGGAACTGCCCTCCAGGATCTTCCTCACCAGCCGTCTCGGCGTTCTGGTCGTAGTACAGATTGGTATTGAGGACAACCATTCGCCCGCTTGTGCTGGGCAGCTTCTGCCTGTAGAAAGCTCCTGAAAAACGCAACCAGCA